CGTCCAGTTTTGGTCGCCACGCTATAAAAAAAAAAGATGTAGAGACTCTAGAAAGAGTGCAGAGAAGAGCAACCAAGAGGATTAGGGGACTGGAGGCTAAAATATATTAAAAAAAGGTTGCAGGAACTGGGTATGTCTAGTTTAATGAAAAGAAGGACTAGGGGAGACATGATAGCAGTCTTCCAATATCTCAGGGGTTGCCCCAAAGAAGAGGGAGTCAAGTTATTCTCCAAAGCATCTGAGAGTAGAGCAAGAAGCAATGGGTGAAAATTAATCAAGGAGAGAAGCAACTTAGAACTGAGGAGAAATTTCCTGACAGTTAGAATCAGTGGAACAAATTGCCTCCAAAAGGCAATTGTGAATGCTCCAACACTGGAAGTTTTTAAAAAGATGTTGGATGAACATTTGTCTGAAGTGGTGTAGGGTTTCCTGCCTAAGCAGGGGGTTGGACTAGAAGACCTCCAAGGTACCTTCCAACTCTGCTATTCTATTCTATTGTAAGATGCGTTAGGGTTTGCCTGCATTTTCCTCTCTGGATTAGCATGTTATTCGCTTTTTCCCTTTATAAACCATGATTGCTGGCTAAGCATGTTATAGGTGCCTTTCCAAGTTATTGAGGTTAGCTTCTTCCTTTTGTTGGAAGGGGGCATCCCACATGCAATTTCCTTCTTGCAGGAGAATTTCCAAATAAGGTAGAAATCTGGACCAAGGTCACAAACCACCTGGGTGCTTTATATTAGCACCGGGCTCAGATAGGAAGCAAAGGCCTCTCACGAAGTCCAAGAGTGGCGTATTAAATCCAACTATTGCCCTGAATAAAGCTGACTTGACCAGTTGAAGGGTCCTTGCTGCCAGCTTTCGAGACGCCTTGTGGCATCTCCTGCTGGGAAAACGGGTCTTCTGAGCTGGCACAGGGCTGTCCGAGCTTGGTCCCTTTTAAGACCTGTGAACTTTAACTCTCAGAATTCCCCAGCCAGCATCTATGCACGCTTCCCTCTAGCTCGAGGGTGTGGTTGACTGGGGTATTTTGGGAGTTGAAGTCCACAGGTCTTAAAGGGGCCAAGCCTGGGCAGCCCTGAGCTAGAGGGAGATGTGCGCAGATGGTGTTTCTCCTCGTGAAAACGAGTCTGTTTGGGAAAGAGCATCAGAGGAAAGGTGGGAAAACATACCCACCAGTTAACTTTTCTTCCATCTTGAGAAGGTTGGGGGTCACAGCAGAGGCCAGAGAAACAAGCACAAAAGGGACCCACTTGTCTTATTGTAAGCCGCCCGGAGTCCTTCGGGAGTGGGCGGCATACAAGCTCAATAAAACTAAACTAAACTGAACTTGTGAAGCTCTGTGCGAAGGCAGCAGCGGCGGGATGCATACTCCGTTACCACCGGTTGACTGCGTGGGCGCACATGCGGCCTTCAGCACATGCGCCCGGCCTTCTGCTCAGGTGCTTTGTGCATGTGCCATAAGCGCATGCGCCTGGCCTCAAAAACATGCTTAAACAGGACAGCATAGAGCTGGGGGAGAGAGGCGCGAACTGGTACGAACCGTCTGAATACCACCGTTAGAAGGCAGCGTAGGATTGCCGCTCGCAATTGACGTTTGTGTTGTTTTGCCTTTGCAGCCTAGAGTTGTGGAAAAATATTTCTCTGGGCCTACCATTACTTTGGAAAACACCAGGGTCGTTAGCCAGTCATTGCAACATTACCTGGAATCTGCCAGGGTAGGTGTGCTGAAGAAGCAACTTGAAATTTCACTTTTTTTGGGGGGGGGGGTTGGGGTTGGGATGGTGGTGGGGTTTGAAGTCAATTGTTCACAGAAATTTACAGCCCTGAATTAAAATGGAAAAAATTCCTTCCCTCCCTTCCCCTTCCTCTCTGCATTTACCTGTCTTACGAGAGAGAGTGTGCTGCTTTCTTTAAGATTCACACCATATCAGAAGAATCGCTGCCTGTCTACATTAAGGGAATCCTCCACGCTGTGATTCTTGGGATAGGTCCAGGGGTCGGCAACCTTAAACACTCAAAGAGCCACAAAAGTCCTAACCGAAAGCCCTATCAATTGTGGAGTCCGGTTCCCCCACCATAGAGTCTCCTCCTAGCGTGGCGTTCTTTTTCCTCTACCTGTCCTAACCGAAAGACCTATCAATTGTGGAGCCAACCAAAAGTCCAGTTCTCCCACCATAGAGTCTCCTCCTAGCGTGGCATCCTTTTTCCTCCACCTGTCCTAACCGAAAGACCTATCAATTGTGGAGCCAAGCGGAAGTCCAGTTCCCCCACCATAGAGTCTCCTCCTAGCGTGGCGTTCTTTTTCCTCTACCTGTCCTAACCGAAAGCCCTATCAATTGTGGAGCCGAGCGGAAGTCCAGTTCCCCCACCATAGAGTCTCCTCCTAGCGTGGCGTTCTTTTTCCTCTACCTGTCCTAACCGAAAGCCCTATCAATTGTGGAGCCGACCGGAAGTCTGGTTCCCACACCATAGAGTCTCCTCCTAGCGTGGCGTTCTTTTTCCTCTACCTGTCCTAACCGAAAGCCCTATCAATTGTGGAGCCGACCGGAAGTCTGGTTCCCACACCATAGAGTCTCCTCCTAGCGTGGCGTTCTTTTTCCTCTACCTG